AACAATAATAATAATAATAATTATTATTATTATTATTATTATTATTATTATTATTATTATTATTCATAATAAACATACAAAAATCTTGGTGGAAGAACTGAAATAGTGACTCAGCAACGTCACTATTCTCACAGCTTAATTAAGTTAATGTTACATCCCAAACCAAACTCTCTTAACTTCACGCAGGTGTGTGTTATTACAATATTGTGGTCAGTTGAAGAAACAAAGGGGTACAGTATACAGTACAAAAGTTAACACAGATAAATGCACCCTCTGAGTTCCCTGATCTTTTTGGCACAAAACAGATTTAAAAAAAAAAGGTTATGAACTCATCTAAACCCAACTGAGACCAGAGAGTGCATTATTAGAGGTTGGGAGTGCAGAAACGACTTGGCTCTCTTCTGCGAACCGTCTTAAGGAATGCGGGACAATAGTCCCTTTTAACAGCGCAGCTTGAATGAATTCAGATAGTTACTGCTGCTGGGAGAACATGCTTTGCTTGACATCGCAAAGAAGCCCGTATTATATTGAGCAGAACATGAGGAAAGAAAAGCAAACAGGATGAAGAGTTCCTACCACACGCCGAAGACCAAAGAGCCCCGGCATGTGAGCTGAGAATTGCATGAGCACGGTGCTCCTTCACCGGCGTCGAAAGGACGCAGGGCCTGTCGATGAGGTGACACAGTGGTGCACTGCCTGTGTCAGGACTGAGCAGTGACCATGCAGCAGTTTCTTCAGGACACCACTGAAGCCGAGACTCAGTAATAAAGACTGCGACGGGGTGTAAATTACACAGAAGCCGTGTCGGACTTATTCTGTTGAATTTGCCCCGCGAGGACTGGAGAGCGAAGAGAAAGGGCTGGGCAGTGAGACTGAGCTCACATGAATTCATTTTTCCACTCACAGCTTGGCTAGCGTTCATTTTGTCCACGGATTTTAAAAGAGAGCATATAGCAGATCAGAATATAGCTATGGCATCAGAACAGCCATGTTCACAGTCATGACCGTCTCTTGGAACAGATCAGGGCTGTGTATTCTTTGATAAAAGAGTAAAGAGCAAATAAAAGTGAGAGTGAACACTGCTTTATCAGAGGGGTTTCATATGTAGAAATAGGTGTTCACTAGGCTTTTGTGTTTCCAACAACAGAACAAACCACTGTATATGGCTGTCTTTGCTAAGGAAGCTGTGTGTTTGCATGGTCAAGGGATGAAAGAGAACCTGGAAAAATGTGTGAGAAAAGTGCATTTGCAAAAATTGGTAAAAATGATTTTCGATGGCCTGTCCATGTGGAGAGGATGAGGGAGGGCAGACTGAAGTGTCAGATCCAGACTGAAGGCAACTGCAGACAAAAAAGCCTCTCTTGTAGGTGAAAGATTAGTATGACAACATCCAGCGAAGGTATTTTAACTGAGTGATATTGAGTGATATTTGTCACTACCCTGAAATGAAAATTGATTGTGTGTGCACATATGTTTCAGCTAATACATCCACATAGTGTAGCACAGCCCTGTCTCTCTTTTGGTCAGATAAGGTAACGTTTAAAAATCCAGAAAACAGGAGGAGATCACACTAAGGACTTTGGATGGAAAGAGTGCCATTCAGTTTTACTTCCACAGACCTGAAACGTTTAAAATTAAGCATTAACTTTTGGAGTGATGAGAGTGATGTCCTTTCCTTCACATGGTCACTGGGCTAGAACCATTCTTGCAGAAGGTAAGCAGGGTGTCAAAATCAGGGTGTCGAGTTACCCAAAGCAAGTAAAAGCGTGTGAGGTCTGCAGCTTGGGCGTGCTCCTCTGCTTTTTCATCGTGACAGGGAGAATTCCATGCGTCAAGATTTACATTGCACTGTCATTTGTGTAGCCAGCTAACATCTGGAACTCATCGCAATTATGCTCTAAACAACATTTCCCCATGTTTATTGACAGATGCAGCTCCAGCAGAGTGAGGTGTTGGAGGGGATTGATGTCTAAGAGAGAGATCCAGAGTTTTCTTTGTTTTTCTTCCTGTCTTCCTATCCACCACCATCACCAGTACGTGTGACTGGTCACCAAAACACAGCAAGGACTGCGCTCTGCACCGAGGCTGTGCCTCATGAGAGTCAGCATTACAGTCGCTTTCAAGTGGCACAAGGTGATCAAGACTCAGCTACCTGATTGAAAGGCCTAGCTGTGTATAAAGCCAGCCAGCTGCTCATCTGGACAAGGAACACAGACTTTTTTATTATGCAACAGAAATAATAAAGAAAATGCATGTCTTCCCTTTTTTAACCACTGGATTATTTTTTTTTGTGGCATGCAGAATATTTCACATAAAATTGAAAGCAGATGGCTTGATGTTCCTAATAATCAGAGCGAGTGGCTCTTTCATTTCTGTGAGGGTGTTGATGTCCCTCACCAGTTAGTCAACATTGCAGGAAGTTTGAATTTCATCTCGCGGTATTGGAGAAGCTTTGCCTTAAACCTGGGCAAAAGAGTGACAATCATCACAATGATCTCCAGCATGAGATGCTGTGAAAAGTCTCGGTCTTGCAATTAGGGAAAAAGAGTTTAGATTCTTTCAAAGGGGAGCAGTTTCTTTCTGACCTCTCCTTTTTGCCTAAAAATAGCTCTGGGTTCCAGCTTTGACATACTATAACCCCATTTGTGATTAGTAGCTCTTGCCACCTCAGAGAGAAGTTTCACCCTGCTGACCTCTGAAGGGCACGTGAATATGACTCTGGGTGAAGCCACAGCTTCTGCCTTCTGGAGTTGTCTGTACTGATTTCACAATGCATTCTCAAGGTAATAATGCTCGAACCCGGGATTTTCCTTACCATAAAGTCAGTCCTTTGCTTGTCGGGACTTGAATGTTCCAACAGCAAAAAAAAATGTTACGGTGTGTAGTTCGGGACCCTGTGCAGATGGTATAATCTGGAAGTGACTGGAAATGGGGCTACAGGGAAAACACGGATAGGAGAGGAATGGAAGGGATGGCAAATGGATGGGGATGGGGGAGGTGCCGACAGGGAATCCAGGAGCAAGGGGGGAATGCTGGCAAACAAGTTCAAGGAAGTCTAAAAGGGAAACCGGGGCGTAGTCCATAATCCAAAGCCGGGAGGTCCATCCAAGACGAGGACGATTGAAATCCCTGGGAAGGGGGAACTTGAACAGGAACACAGAGGTTAAAATGGAGTGACGAGGCCAGGCGCTCCGAGCCCCAGACTCAGCTGGGTCAGGACGCCGATCGGAAGCCTATGCCTTCAAGCTGCGGACGTAGGGCAACTTGATGGTAATAATAATAATAATTGCTTACACTTATATAGCGCTTTTCTGGACACTCCACTCAAAGCGCTTTACAGGTAATGGGGATCCCCTCCACCACCACCAATGTGCAGCATCCACCTGGATGATGCGACGGCAGCCATAGTGCGCCAGAACGCTCCCCACACATCAGATATCAGTGGGGAGAGTAATGTAGCCAATTCATAGAGGGGGATTATTAGGAGGCCATGATTGGTAAGGGCCAATGGGAAATTTGGCCAGGAAGCCAGGGTTACACCCCTACTCTTTTCGGGAAACGCCCTGTGATTTTTAATGACCACAGAGAGTCAGGACCTCGGTTTTAAGTCTCATCTGAAGGACGGCGCCTGTTTATAGTATAGTGTCCCTGTCAATATACTGGGGCATTAGGACCCACATGGACTGCAGGGTGAGCGCCCCCTGCTGGCCCCACTAACACCTCATCAGCAGCCTTAGTTTTTCCCAGTCGGTCTCCCATCCAGGTACTGACCAAGCTGCTGAGCTTCAGTGGGTTGCTAGTTGTGAGTTGCAGGATGGTAGGTGGGCCTCCGGGCGTCCATCTTCCAATGCAGAGCCCTGAGCTTCCGGAGCACCGGGTTTGAATAAAGGACGGAACAAGGGGGCAGGCGAACGTGATAATGAAAAACACAAAAGGGTCGGAGCGCCCTCTAGAGGAGGGATGACGATTGTGACAAAAAGTCTACGAACATAAGAAACAGTGCAAACGAGAGGAGCCAATCAGATCATTTCGGCCCCGTTCTGTAGTTAAGTAGCTAAGTGACCCAAGAATCTCGTTCGGGTGTTTCTTGAAGGACACCGGTTTCAAACGCATGGCTGATAGGAAATCTTTATTCTGGGCTTCAAAGAGGAGGAAGAGGAGATTTTCAGTGAGCAATGAGATCAGACTGTACCAAGGGAGGCACAGGCCGGAATCCATCTCCCATAGAGACACGAGTAGTGTCCTGCAGTATACAGTATGAGCACTTCTTCACTTCCTTCACCCAAAAGAAAATGTCAGTCCATAAACCAGAGAAAAGCTGACTTGACTGCTTCTTAATGAAATTTCATTCATAACAGAAGATGACATATTTTTGGTATGCGGACTTAACATTAAACCCATATTTATGCTTCATTTATGCCTCCCTGTTTCAGCATAAAAACAGTAGTCTCTTTTTAGGCTTTCAAGTGACTCCTACATACTTGTAATTTTTCCTAGCAAAGCAATTCTAATTTTTTTTAAAGATGTGTTTTAGATTAAAAATTAAGATAATCTGGTTTTAGTACTGGCCAAACAGCCTTCCAGGCCTGTGTTTAATCAAAACAACATTGTTTCCTTTTCTTCCAGTAATGTTATCCAGATGAGGATATTACAAACACGAGTCCCTTCTTACAGAAAATGT